ACATATTTATTCAACCCAAACCAGTTGGAGTATCCATATACCCAACAGCAGTGGTTACAAAAATGCTGCTGCTGTGAGGCCAGTTATAAACATACCTTGTGCTGATATGTGAGAAAAGTGATTGCCTAATTCCTTTGAGCCTTCCTGATTACTGAAAAATAAATGTGTTTATTATTGTGATTTTGTGGATTTGGCTCGTATTTTGTACAGACTTACTAAGCAATTGTGAATAATTCATTTGTGTAATTATTCAGATCTTTTGAATAGGGGCAGGGAATACTGTTTGTGTGACATGATTGCCAGTTTGCAAAAACAAGGCCATGATTGTCCCAAAGGTGTTTTTTCAAAAGGCAACTGGACTTGCTTTGTTTTTCCTTGAAGACGTTTCGCTTCTCATCCAAGAAGCTTCTTTAGTTTTGAACTGAAAAAGATTCTTGGATGAGAAACAAAATTAAAGTCCAGTTGCCTTTTGAAAAAAAAAAGCATTTGGGAAAATCTTGACAGTGGATAGAGGAATACAGGAATAGAGAAATCCTGGATGCACATTCTGCCTCCCCTGATAAAAATAAATACTACTGATAATGTTTCAATGTTTTTCTGTTTTGTTAGCTTTCCTTCCAAGACTTGGAGATAAAGATGCAGCCACTGTTGCAGATTTAACAGGAAAATATACAGAACTGATTTAGATTGCTGCAGGAATTAGTTGAACTTTTATACTAAAGTAGTGGTTCCCAAACTTTTTCAGTCTATCATCCCCTTGGTGCTACAAACTCATCCTCAATGCCCCCCACCCAGGGACGGGATTCAAATTTCTGTGGGCGTGACTGGGTCGGTGTGGCTTGCTGGTCACATGATTGGGTGGGCATGGCTTGCTGGTCACATGACTGATGGCATGGCTTGCTGGTCACATGACTGAGTGGGCGTGGTTTGGTGACTGGCAAACCAAATACAAGTGGTCCTCACTTAATGGCTGGTTGCTTAGCAAGTGTTCTAATTTATGACTGGCCTCCCCAGAACTACTTGACCTGTTTTTGGAGTTTTGACAGCCATGCACACACATACACATACCCTTCCAGTAGTGAATAAAATCTAATCAGAGATGCTTTGCCGATTCTTGTTGATTTGTTTTATTAGTATTTCTTTATTTTATGTTGCTGAATTGCATTGACATGTGTGTCCCTTCTTGTGCACAGCCCAGAAGCTTTTGTGACTCTGCAGCAAAAATTACCAACCTCTGGCTTTGCTCTACTTTTCAAATGTACCGCCATTGCCGCGTTCTAGGTGCTAGTCCCGCAGGACCACCCCATTGAGCCCGCTGCACTGGAGGGACCTGCCCAAGCAAGTCCGAGCGGAGTGGTGCACCAATTCAATGGAGTGAGCCTGGAAGAGGGAAAGATATAGAGAGAAAAGAAAGAGAGAAAGAGAGAAGGAAGAAAAGAAAGAGAAAAGGGAAAAAAGAAAAAGGGACAAAGAAAGTGGGGATGGAGGGATGAAGGGGGGGAGAGAGGGAGAGAGAGACCTGATGCATCAGATTGAAATGAGGCCTAGTTTAGAGGCCCTTTTCCACACTGAAACATCTTTGCCAGCACATTGAAACATATTTGGCTTCTATTAATTAAAGGTTTTGTGGATGAAACATGGCCAAGACTATCAGGAGGTTCTCACATTTTGTTGAAGCTTTAAACAAGATCCTTTGGACTAGATCTCCACCCTAAAAAATTACTTTTCCCCAATATATTACAGGGCCAATTCTGAAGAAGGCAAAACCAAAATGTATTGGTAAATAACAAGGAGAACAAACACACACACCACACACACACACACACACACACACACACTCCCTTCTAACCCTGCTGGAGCAGGTGATCAGACTAGAATAGATATCTCATTATCTTTTTCCTCCCTCTCTCCCTCCTTCTTTATTTCTTTTTCTTTCTGTCCCTTCCTTCCACCTCACCCCCACTTTCTTTTTCCCTTTTTCTTTCTTCCCCTTTTCTCTTTCTCTTCTTCCTTCTATCTCTCTTTCTTTCTTCCTCTCTCTTTCCTTCTCTCAGGCTCACCCCATTGACTTTGTGCACCGCTCTGTTCAGACTTGGTTGGGCAGGTGCCTCCAGTGCAAGGGGCTCAATGCCACTCAAAGCCACTGTGGCTTTGCTCTCCTTTCCCAACACTGCGTTCGGGGTGAGGCCCTGCAGGATCACCCCATTGAGCTCCTTGCACCAGAACGTGCAAGTCAATGGGGTGATCCTGCGGGGCCTCGCCTCGAATGCAATGGCGGTTTCTCACCCCTGAATTGTGCCCTGCCACTCACCTCCAGCGCCCCCCTTCTGCCTCTTAGCACCCCCCTGCCGGCCCCTTGCCTCTCAGCACCCCCTGCCAGCCCCCTTGCCTCTCAGCGCCCCCCTAAGGCATCCCACCCCCCCCAAGGGGTGGTACCACCCACTTGGGAACCACTGTACTAAAGCATTATAGCCAGGGGTGGGCTTCAAAAATTTTAGCAAAGGGTTCTCTGCCCAGTTACTGGGTGGGCATAGCCATGGTGGGTGTGGCCTAATCAACTTCCTGCACCATGGTGGAGGGGGGCATTTTTGCCCTCCCAGGGTTACAGAGGCTTTCCTTGAGCCTCCAGGAGAGTGAAAATGGAGACCTCCCCATGGTCCGGAAGCTCTCTGGAAGCAGGAAGTAGGCCTATTTCCGGCCTTCCCAAACTTCCGGGAGGCCCATTTTTTGCCCTCCCCGAGCCTCTGCGCCCTCCCTGCACTTACTTGCATCCAAAACAGGCCGTGTGGGAACTCGAGGAGAGGGGTGTGGGAGGAGAGGGGTGGGGTAGGCAGGGCCAGCCAGGAGTGGGATTTGGGGGGTTCTCTGAACTGCACAGAATCTTAGCTAGGGGGTCTCCCGAACTCCTGAGAACCCCCAGCAGCCTACCCATGATTTATACCTTCATACACCATTACTGAAAAATCTCAATAAGATGCAACTAAATTAGTATACCTTCCCTTATTCTCTATTTAAAATATAGTGAGGTGAAGAAAGTAAGGAAGACGGCCTTGATGGAGATATGCAGGCTCTGTGGCTTAGGCAAAAGGAGATGAAGGATTTTCAGCTCAGAACAATGAGCTCATACTCAGAAGTACCTCAGTCAGATGCCTCCCTAATTTGCTAAACTATATGAAGGAGATAAAACACCATTGCAAAATTCTGTTATTACAGCCAATCTCAATAAAAGTAGTTTTTGCCTTCCTATGGATTTCCTGGTCTGTTCTACTGGTAGGGCTGTAAGAGAGGGCTAAAGGGATACATATCATACACAAGATAGGATATTTTAAGTGACTTTCTTGACCTACAGGTAAAGCATTTTAAGTCGATTTCCACTGAAAAAGAAAAGTGAAATAATAACTCAGTTTAATTCAACAAGATCTTTTTTCGCATCATTTGACAGTAGGGTATTCAAAGACTTTCAAAATTACTAACAGGAAGGGAAAATAACAGGAAACATGGACTGTTTAGGAAAAGGTACTATGTTTAGGAAATCCTAAACCTTTATTTATAAAATGGGGGGTGGGGGTAGTTTTACAATTGTAGAATAGGAGCAAGACCCAAGGCCTTACCTCCCTAGTGATGAATGGCCTTGGGTCTTGCCCCTATTCTACGATTGTAAAACTACCACCCTATGTATTGAAAAAAATTCCTGGCCCTTTCCCTTAAGTTGCCAAGATCCTCTCATAGTACCAGACTAAGATAAAGTTGTGGTGTTTTCTCTTTCTGTGACTGTGCCTTATAGGCGAGGTACTTTAGGTTCACATTTTTAGTTCAACTTCAAGTGGTGCCAGTAAATTCCAGAACCTGGGGATATTGTCTGCATTTTAGAAGGGAAAAGAGGAATAACCAAGAATTCATTCATTTTTTATCCAAGACTTTCCAGCAGTTAAGATCAATTAAAACATCCATAGTAATTATAGAAATAAAACATCCACAGTAAAAGTAATTGAAAACTTAGTCATAATATACCAATTAAAATATATAGCCAATTTCAGTCAAGTTAGCCCCATAATCAGGTGACATGTTCAACCTCAATGCTCAACCTCAAAGTTTGTCCCCTTTATCTTCCTGAACTGGGCAAGTGCCAGAAGTTTTGTTGGCTAGATAAATTGTAATTGGATTTGGCTGTTCTGGAAATAGCTACATATAAAGCCACTGAGGGCTTTATAGAGCAAAACCAGAAATAAACAAAGCAGAGATTTTGAGACTTGAGACATTGTGGCTCAAAAGCTCTGAGTGCCATGTTTGAAAACTGTTAGAATAAAAGTAGCTGTGATTTTTAGTGTGATAAAAGGGAGAATTCTTAATGCATTATTGTATTTATCGTATCTCATTTTAATTAAGTGTAAGTCAAACTTAGATAAAGTCCTTGGCCCAGAAAAATTTAACACCTTTGGAAGAAGATAATTCTTGTATATTATGTATATAGTGTGTGTGTGTGTATATATTAATTTATAGTATAAATCTATGAAGATATAAATATCTATGAAGATTTCCTAGTATGTATGTATGTATGTGTGTGTGTGTGTGTGTATG